GCCGCGTATGCGTATTCGGCCGTGTTCGTGTGCGGCCGTATATTCGTATTGGTATGTCTGCTGCTCCCAGCGGTGTTACCTGTCGGTTCCGTTTGTGTTGCCGGCTCAGTAGCTGCGGGTTTGGCCGGTTCTTGGTCGGCTACGCTGCCGTCGCCGGGTGATGACTTTGCTGGTGTATGCTTAGAGCCGCCTGAGGGCTTGGTCTTTTTGTGTTCCTCTTCGTCCTCGTGGTCTTCGGAGTCGTCGTTATCATCTGCGGTAGACGGTACATTCATAACTGCTCCGCTGTCGTTGGCCTTCCTCTTGCGTTCCCTGAGGTGCTGCTTGAATGTGTCCCCTGCGTTTGCAATTGTGTTGAAAACAGTTTTTACTACGTCTGTCCACGCGCCCTCTATGTGTAACCCTTGCGTAACCTGTTCCTTCTTCGCATCCTCTTCATCCACAGGTTCCCCTATTCGCATGTTTTTCTGCCACGTTCTATTACAAGCTGTGTGTGGCCGTATGTGTGCAAGTTGTTGCGCTACTGTTCTATTATTCCTCAACCATGCCTCAACTGCCGCCTTTAGCTGTGCTGTCCCTATATGCATATCCCCATACTGGTTCCTCTTGCATTTGCCTCCTGAGGTGCTGCCCTGGAACCCCCCAGGCATCTGCATTTTATCTATGGTTTTCCATGCGTACCTGGTTCCCCTGGAGTCTCCACACGTGGATTCACTTAGTAGTCTTGCGAAAACATGCACCAATATGCACTTCATAATTCCTGCAAAATGGTCGTCATTGGGGTGTCGCTGTCCTGCCCCTGTGCCTGCTGCCCCTTGCCAATCCTGCATGAAATATAATGCACCCGTTATGAATCGGCACTTCAGTACGTCGCCTACGGTATGTCCCTTGTACAAGGTGGTATCGTTTTCCTTATAATCCCATCCTGTATTCTCGCAGCTCTTAGCCAATGCGTCCAATATGTGCCTGGTGCTGTCTATATGCCGCACGAAGTCCCGTAACACAGTTTCCATGTCCTTCCACAAAGTTTCCTGCATCGTACATAGTGAAGGAGTAAAATACAAACATATATATTATACTCCTAATGTTTACCATTGTGTCCCACATTCATTACATTAATATCCTTAAAATTCATACAAACTCTTGCTGGCAAGGGTTGCGTTTACTATGGTATGACGTACATCGAACTTTTTCTGGTTCCATAGTCCCCTCTGTTTGCCCCAGTTTGCAAGAACATTCGTAACAAATTTTTCCATGGTAGTATGAGTTCTGTTTTAAAATTGCTGCCTGCAAAATATAAAACATGCAGATAGAAAAATATGCGTGCTGACGTGCATCGTACACATAGGTGCCGTAGGCATACGAACATGTAACTCATGGGAAGTACATTCTGTCATTGACAGGAATGAATAATAAGGCTTCACGTATATGTAGAGTGGAGGTAACTGTGCATGTGATATAAATAAATCCAACGATAAATGGCGGACTAATTTTACATAAAACATTTTACATAATTATTTCTAACACTTGTTATATAAGAACTGCACTCTATTGTGTAGACCGGGGAAGAGGTGCAGTAGATGAAACACGCTGCCGTCTGAGTGTCATCATGCGGCCACCTAAAAAGAAATTCCTAACAATACTATCGACCATCGGAGTTGCCCCTCAGGACTTATTGCACAGTTAGGCAGAAAAGTT